GTAGAATTTAAGTATGTTTCCGCACAACACTAACATGTTCGTTTTGTGGTTCTCCGCTCAATTGGGGGAAATAAACGATTTTTAGGGAAAATAAATGAATATTAAGGGAAATTAATGAATTTTAACGGAAATAAATGAAATAATCAGGGGAAATTAATGAATTTTAGGGAAAATTAATGAATTTTAGGAGAAATAAATAGTCAGGGGAAATAAATGATGTTTAGGGGAAATAAAAGAAATAAATGATTTTTTTGGGAAAAGTATCAAAAATAATGAAAAAACATGCCTTTTGATGTCCAATTTTTATCCCCCCCCCACACTTAATCAAAAAGCATTACTTAAAATTATATACCCCTGCATTACCTGTAAGGTAGTCCTCTAAGATTGACCATGAATCCGTCCCGGCGCGCCTTTGTCTCAAGCTCCCGATCCTTAGCTCGCGCTACATCCTTGCTACTCGCTTCAAATACTTCAACATACCTGGACAAATAAAATCGTATTTTTAGTCTTTAAATTCAGGTTGGGTTAGTCACAAAAATTAATGGAAAGTTGACGGCCTACTTAGGATCCGGACCTGTAGTGGATCATCATAACCTTATAAATACATCGTATGTTTCTTTAGAAAAATAAGCAAAAAAAAAACGTAAAAAAAATTGAAATTCCTTGACAGGACGGAATCCAGAATCCGAATCCACAATGGATCCTAGGAACTGCAAAAAGCATCAGCAAACTGTATAAAAACTACATTTTAAACTCATGACTATTTCTGAAATATCTCCCAATTTAATTTCAGTATAATCGAAGTTTTTTCTAAATTTGCATTTAGTAAAATAATATAAAAATGTGATCCTTTTTAATATCATCAATATGTGAACACATTATTTAATGAATAACACGGCAGGGTGCATAAACATAGTGTTCTGTTGTAATACCATCTATTGGTCTTCATGTAACCTTCTAATCAATTAAAGACCTGCCAGCTTGTGAATCCAGCTTTCCCTAGAGATCTGTACAATTGTACCAAGCTTTGAACATTCTGTGGTTCAAACTAATTCCACAATAAAAATTATAGGCAAATCAATGAAGGGGCTCCTTCTGAGTTATGAACTGACATGCAAACGAATAAACAAACTAACAAACAGACACAAACAAATATCAATACGTTATTATAAACCTATACCTTGATCCTAGATTCTTCTTGTGCTGTTTAAGAGCTGGAGCAATATCGTCACTGGATTCCACCTCCACATAGGCATCTCCACTTGGTCTATTCCTTCTACAAAAAAAAGGTTTTTACAAAAAGAAAAAAGAATTTCAGTTTAATTTGTCAATAAAATAGGTAGAAAAAATGAACTTGACTAAAATATTAATATTTACTTTTCTTCAATGATGAGTATAACTCCATGTACCCCGTTGAGGACATTACAGTCTGGAAGGAAGTCGATGATGTCCTCTTTAGTAGCAGTCCAGGGTAGTCCACGTAGCTTGATGCAGTAGGGACTAGCCTCACTCTTCGGAGGTCCCCGATCCTTGCTACGCTCTCGCTCTCGTCCAAAAGGTCGTTCATCCCGTCCAAATCTTGAATCCCTACCAAAACTTGAGTCCCGCCTGAATCCAGAATCACGACCAAATCCGGAGTCGCGCCCGAATCCGGAGTCACGCCCAAAAGATCGGTCACGAAAATCACGCTCTTGTCCAAATCCGCGCTCCCGTGCAAAATCCGAGATGCTCATTCCACCGGAGAAGCCCATTCCGCCACCACTGAAGCTTCCGCGACCGCACATTCCGCCACCGCCTCGGTCAAACGAACGATCAAATCCTCGGTCAAAAGAGTTCCGTTCGACAAGCCTGCCTCGTGGTCGGTCCTTCCGATTTTCGTTAAATCCAAACTCGTTTGTTGCTCCGTTTTTCTTTTCTTTCTCCAAAATGCTAGACTTGGATTCAAATATTTCAACATATCTAAATAAAAAAAATTAAATTATAAATAGTTTTCTTAAAATTTTACCGACATTTTTTGTTCACGTAATTATACGAATTTTCTCAAAAAAAAACGTTGAAAGCCAAAAAATATTAAATAACTCAGTTTTAAATGAGCTAGTGGGACCCTTTGTTTTAAGTTTGTAACAACTTTCTTGTAAAACCTCAATTTAAAAAAAAACTTTTCTAAACCTACATAATTAAAAAACACCCACCTGGTACCAATTCTGTCCCTATGTCGTCTCATGGCCGCATTAATATCTCGAAATGATGACAACTCGATATATGCTTCCCCTGTTGGCTGCTTTCTAAACAATAAATCATTATTTAAAAATGATCATTACAAATCATTTAACAGTGCATAGAAAAAATATAAAAATAACATTTTCAGAAAACGAATCTCCAAGAAATGACGAGAAATCTTTTATTTGTCAATTAAATTGTTAGTTCTCTAAGTAAGCAGAAACAGTAATGGAACCATTCTCAACATTTATCCCTCGTTAAATTANCCTTGAGCTACGCGAGGAACAGTCCCTTTAATGGTTTTATTACCTTGATAACAGGAGTATCCCTTGAGCTACGGGGGGAAGAACTTCTTGACATGCTTTTCAGTTTAGTCTAGATTAATAATATAAACATAATTTATCAGGTTTTAGAAATTAAAGTTTTTATGATGACTTACCTTGGGGAATAGAATAAAACCCACTACCCCACCCTTTCCATCCAACAGAATTTAATATCCCTGCCAAACCTCAACCAACCTCCTTTCCATCCTTCCCTCCTCATCCTCCCCTTCTCCTGCTCCTCATCCTCCCTCCCCTTCCTTATCCTCATCCCTCATCCTCCCTCACCTTCCTCCGCCACGTCCCTCACATTCCAGCCTCCCTAAAAATCCTCCTAATCCTGTAATTCCAACGTCAGCCAACAAAACCTCCTTCATGCCAACCCTTCCATCATGCACCTCACCAAACCTCCTGACCATCCTCCAAACCTTCCACCATCCTCCAAACCTTCCACCATCCTCCAAACCTCCTGACCATCCTCTAAACCTTCCACCATCCTCAAAACCTCCTGACCAACCTCCAAACCAGCCATAAACCTCGCCAAACCTCTCTATTCCAAATTCCAATCTATAACCCTCCTCACCAGTCCCATAATCCCAAAAACCCCCAACCTCCGATTAAGCCTCCAGCAAACCTCCATGTTCAATCTTCCGCCATCCTTTATCCTTCCTCCAACCTCCAATTTTATCCTTTCTCCAAAATAAACCTCCCCCATCCTCTACCATCAGCCACCATAGAGTCCAAAGGATAAGAAGATTCCAAGCCAACGCTAGAGGAAGATAAATCCACTCTCAGGTTTCCCATCTCAAAATTTTTAAATTCATGAGACTCTAAAATACTAATAATTGCCAGAACCAAACAGCATAATTATGATAGTTAGTTAAGTCTTTAAAACTACTGAATACATACAAAAAGTTATAATATAAACTTACTCATTTTATGGGTTTAATATTTAGCTAAAATTGACCTGTCAAAAATGCACAATTCAGTAAGTAAAACTTTCAGAATAAAATTCCACATAATACATAGTCAGGTCCGTCCTAGGGGCCCCTCCTATCGATTATATACAAGCCACCTATTTAACCGGTTTACATCAAAATTATTATTAATTATTTTCTACTATTTTAGGGTTGTGTTGGGTTAAAACAATTTCAGGGCCGTTCGCTGCGACTAAGGGGATGAACGCTACCGCTAGGACTTGCTTGGAGCCGTGCGCTGCGTCCTCAGGTATAACTTAGACCATGTACAAAATAGATATGAGGGAGTTGGGCCCGGGGAGTCTGTCCTAGAGAACGATTTTGAGACCCCCCGTGTCGTATCGTTTGCACTAATGATTGATCGGACTAACGTACATTCGCACTAACGTTCAT